TGAGGCATTCCTAGAGTTTTTTAAGTGTGACTCTTAAGACTGATTTTTAAGAAGAGTTTTAGATGTCATTTATAAAAAGTCAGCCAAGAAGTTGATCAGTAGGTTAAAATTTAAAGTTTTTATTGTGTTTTTTATTTTGAATAATGTTTTTATAAATATGTAAATAATATATGATTTTTTAGTTAAACTTAAAATTTAAATATTATACTAATTTTCAAGGATTGCTTTAATGTGAGAAATAATTTTTAATTATGTATGAAATTATAATGTTTATAATTTTTAACATTGATTTTATTTGTATTTATGCAATGTTTGGAACAAAATGCATAGGATTTTAGCAAATATTTTAGTTTATGACTAAACATTACTTAATAATTAAATAAAATAAAAATTAATATATAATATTAATTACTAATTACTAATGAAATTATCATTTAATTATCATAATTTAACATTAATTTTCAATGAATAAGCTCAATTTATTATAAGAACAAGCTTATTATAAGCTCAATTTGTAAATTACAAATATTCTAATATTTTCTAAATGTAACAGTATCAGTTTATATTATCACTATTACCAGTCATTTGTAAATCATAATTTTTATTATCATGGTTATATACAGGTTAATAAATATTTGTTTTCAATTACTTATAAGAATAATAAAGTTAATCAAACTTATTTAAAACTACATTTATAAAAATCAAGTCATATACCATACTAGGTAATAGTCAATCATTAGCACTGATATCGCCATCTAGTGTTCAACATAATTAATTATTCATGATAATTATGCTAGAATTTAAACGAGTCTGGTAGAATAATTATTAACTACTTCAGTAAAACAACTTAAACACACATGGTTAGTCACAATTGGTGTGCAAAACTGTGTAATTTATGTTTAACTACCGATCACAGCACGGATGGACACATTGCCAACCGATACCGTAACACAAATAACAATATTTACAATAAATAATTAATTATAAATTATTTAAAATTTATAAACAATTATTCTAATAATTTTATATACAGTATATAGTAATATATTTAGTAACATGTTATCATTTGCAGTATTATATAAAACTACATGGTCTATATCTATGTTTCCAATGGTATTCACTGATTATTATGTTTGTTATCAAAAGGTTTTATTAGAGTATTATTACCACAACTAATATAATATACATTTTTTGACTAAAACAAAGGAAATGTTATTAAATAATATTCATTTAATAATTTTTAACCATTTATTTGTATCAATGTATTTATTAACAGTAATTGTTCATTTATTGGTTGTGATAATTGTTTTATAAATAAATTGTTAAAATTTTATGAAAATGAATGAATTATTAAAACAATTTAAAAGTTGTGCTAAAATTCCAACAAGTTTGAGAAAAAATATAACAAAATTACATATTTTTAGTAATTGTAATAATAATAATAAATATAATATATTATTTGTGACAAAAAATAATCAAGTTTATGGTTTGGGTGATAATATGTTTGGTGGTCTGGGTTTGGGACACAACACTCCTATGCTATCACCAAAACGTATACCAGAATTATGTCATCAAAACATACAATACTTTGTCAATGGATTGAATTTTGTATTAGCAGTGAATGATATGAATATGATATATGGATTTGGGAATAATAAATATGGACAATTGGCTCGGGGTGAACTAGATGATTATGATGATTGTTTAAAACCAGAAATAATACCATCTTTTAATGACAAAAATATTGTACAAATCAGTTGTAGTGGTCTTCACACACTGGCCCTCACAAGTGATGGCCGGGTCTATGCCTGGGGTAGCAATGATTGCGGACAAATTGGTATTGAAAATGATCATGATTATATTTGCACACCAATTGAAATACAATTCAATAATAATTATAAAATACAATCCATTTATTGTTGTTATTCCTCTTCATTTGCCATCACATCCGACGGACGTGTCTTCAGTTGGGGTTATAATTATGGCCACAGATTGGGACACAATATAACCGATGATGAAGTGTTAGTAATGAAACCCCGATTAATATCAGAGATAAATAATGTGAAAACAATTAGTTTTACTACTTTTGGGACATATTTTCTAACAACAAATGGTTTATATTTTTGTGGGAAATATTATGAAAATGATATAAATAAGGAAATAATTGAAGAAATTCCACAACAAATAATATTTGAACAAAACTGTCAAATATTTAGACAAATTAATTCGTGGATTAATTATAGAAATAATGAATACAACTGTGTTTTAATTGACGATAAAATATATAAGATATCAAACGAACAAATTATTATTGAAACAAATTATAATAATTTTATTGACTTTTACGCCAATGAATACCAAATAAGTTATAATACAATTGATATCACAGTAGATATGGTTAATAAAACAATGGCAAAGAAAAGTGAAAATAAAACAAAAATAGACAAATGGGAGTATTTATGTGATAATTCAAGTGATGGTAACTTTAATACCCAATTCATTGAGATGTCAGCCATAGGTTCGGGTGGTTTTGGGACTGTATTTAAAGTAAAGCATAGATTGGATGACAAGATATATGCCGTTAAAAGAGTACAATTTGGAAGTAAATTAAATTATTATTAATTCAATGAATTATAAAATTTTAACAAATATTTTTACAGCTTTTAGTGAAGAAGAGAAACAAAAAGTGCTGAAAGAAGTGAAAAGTTTAGCAAAACTGGACTCAGATTTTGTGGTCAAATATTACAACTCATGGCTTGAGTCCAATTATCTCTTCATTCAAATGGAGTTTTGTTCACAAAATCTTAAATCTGTTCTCAAAGACAAACCCATTGTCTTCGAGAGACAACCGGAAGACCACATGAATAGTGTGTTTGAATATTTTATTTCATGTGAAATATTCAGAGAAATCCTAGAATGTGTTCAATACCTTCACGAATCGGATCCTATTGTCATTCATAGGGATCTTAAGCCCGAAAATATATTAATTTCAGTCAACATTAGGTCTAATCGTATCGTAAAATTATGTGACTTTGGTTTGGCCACCGATCACAACATCAATGGACTAACAGTTAGCCGATACACGCACTCAGTTTGCGGTACATTTGGATATATGGCACCCGAAGTACTGACGGGAAAACCATATAATCATAAATCAGACATTTATAGTCTGCACGCAATCGGCGAAGAGTTGTTTGGTTTTGATTTTCAGTCGTAAGTGTTTTGTTAATAAATCAATATTTTTATTATATTTTTCAAATATTTTATTTATATTTTGTATGAATTTTTGTATATTTTGTCTAAAAGTTATTTAAATGCTATTATAATTTATTTTCCTTAATATTGTGTTTTGTTTTTTAGTTCCCAAGCATTTGAAGCCAAAGAATCGTTATTCAAGACATCCATACACTGTATGTATGAAACATTACAACAAATGATGGCAATTGTTTGGCGCCAAAGGCCTGAGTGTCGGCAAGTGTTGGCCAAACATAACGAGTGGTCTCTCTATAAGACTGTTATCACAAACCATAAGGAATTTAATTTAGTTTTAAATACCCTTAAAAGTAACAACAATTTTATATTCTATGAGATTTTAATGTGTAAAACAATAACAAATCTTCAGTTAAAACCCGAAATACCAATAAAACCTACAATTGTATTAAAACCGGGAACATGTGCTAAACGCACGGGTAATGTGTTTACACCGTATACTGCAGTCAATGATGTCAACACTAATATTTAATGATAAGCATCTGAGTGTCGGCATTTTTTGGCCAAACATAACGGGTGTCCAATCAATAGGATTGTCATCACAATTGCTAACATAGAAGTTAAATCAATACTAACTATACTTGAATTTTATAAAAATTTAGTTTATTCCACAAAAACATAATAAGAGTTTGTTTTATTTAAAAAAACAATAATAATTGTGGATTCATATATCACTATTTGAATTTTGTTTTATGATAAATATATATATAATTTAATCTAGATTAGCTTGATTTTTATTAGTTTTACACATTAAAATAAATTGTTATTATTTGTACAGACAACCCAATAATTTTAACTATTTAATAACAAGTTAGCTTTTGTTAATTATAACACAACTTATTATTTTAAAAAAATATTCATATGTTATTCTGACTAAAATTTTAATTGTTTATACTTATAGTCATGTTATAAAATTAAATATGTGTTAATAATGAATTTAAAAAATAAGTTTAACACAAAATTAAAAACTTATTTAACAAAATTTTCACTGATTTTGGCGGCGCTTTCATTACAATTGAAGTGTTGTATGCGTTTTGAAGTTACCGTGAGTTATGACCACATCTACTAATGGCAACACTTTTGTCTGCGGGACTGACGGCTCGCCCCACATATTGGCCGCCAATTCATATGTGTCTCCGAGCGGTCCCTTCGAGACAATCAACTTGTGCTCACTTTTCGCAAGTATTGACACAAACTTTTTCATTAAATTCACGTCCACTGAACCCATAGAACCCAATGAGAGGTAAATGATATACAGGAACTCAATGTTAATCTTATTAAAATTAATGGAGGGCTCAGTTCTTACATTTCGAGTCAGTCATTGTATTTTACATTTTGTGCGACAAAAGTCTTGTCCAATACTTTGCGAAACTCTGACCATTTGCTTCTGTAGTCATTTCATTCCGAAGGCAAAATATCTTAAATTGAAATATTAAATTTTAGCCCAAAAAAGCTCAATATTTATAATATTTTAATTTAAACTTTAATTTACCATTAGCCCATAGGGTGTAATAAAAATAAATGCTTTTTATATGTATAGGATTTAAATTAAAAATATAACAATATAAAAATTTTAATAAATAAATTTTAATAATTAAGTAAAAAACATTTATGTAATTAAATATAATTAATTAATTAAATCCGGCTATTCGTCAATAATTTAAAATAAATTTTTAATCCATATTAATTTAGTTACAAAATAATAATTAACAAAACCTTATTTATTATTAGATTTAAATGAATTAATACATAATTCCCAAATAATGTCCATAATTAGTCATATTCTATGTGAATTCTGTGAGATAATATACATTTTTAAATTTATGCTCATAGTTTTTAACAATCAATTATGATGAAGGTCATTAAATTAAAATGCACTATCGTTAGTACATTTAATCACGATGTTATACGAGGAAAATAGTTTATTCAATCACAGCGTAAACTACTACTGTATACTTGGATAACACAATTTGTTGAAGGTGATAACAAACTGAAAATAAAATAAATGTCTACCTTAGTGCAAATTGGACTGTTTGAACTTGTCAAAAAAAATAATAACAACATTATGTGTTCAGTAAAATAGTATTTAAGGAAACAAATTTTCACATTAACAATGTATTCATTAAACAAGTATATTATAATAACTACATTAATAATAAAAATATACAAATGGACCGCAAGTTAACTATATTATTCGCGCCGATGGAAGCCATAGGACACGTGAACGCGTGCATAGGGTTGGCTCAAGTGCTGTCCAGTCGGGGCCACAAAATCGTGTTCGCTATCGACCAGTCATTTGAGGGCCGATTAACGCCGTATGGGTTCGTCGAAGAGCTGTTGCCCACCGGCGGCGACCCAACCGTCAAAGTGGACGCCGAAATGGTGGCCAAAAATATGCTCGCGTCGGGCCTTTTGGCCAACATATCGCCCGCCGAGTCGTTGGCCATTTGGTCGGACCTGCCGTTCATGGATATGAGATTTGCCAAAAAGCGGGTCAATGAGCCCCTAATGAAGGCCATTGTCGGCCGCCATCGGCCCGACCTCTTCGTGATCGACGACTTTAACCCTTCGCCAACACTCGTCCACTCAAACAAACCCTGGGTTTGTGTTATAAGCGCTAATCCGTTGTTTGCCTCCACCGACGATAGGTTACCGCCGGGATGTTCCGGTAAAGTCGTGTAAATAGGTTATGTATTTTTTTCACATTTATGTAATGATTATTTTGTATTTGATTTTTAGGATTCGCCACAAATGGAGACAACAGAAGCGAATGGTCAGAGTTTCGCAAAATGTTGGACAAGACTTTTGTCGCGCAAAATGTTAAATACAACGAATGGCTTAAAGAGGAAGGGCTGCCACTCATTGATGTCAATAAGATTAACATTGAGTCTCCGTATCTCAATGTCTACGGCTATCCCGAAGAGCTCGACTACACAGACATCCGACCCATACCTGAGCGCTGGTTAAGAGTCGACACATTTATGAGAAAAAGAGAAAAACAAGAGTTTAAAATTCCCGACAAATTCCTGGACAGAGATATTACGAAAAGTAAACTAATTTACCTCTCATTGGGTTCTATGGGTTCAGTGGACGTAAATCTAATGAAAAAGTTTGTGTCAATACTTGCGAAAAGTGAGCACAAGTTCGTTGTCTCGAAGGGACCGCTCGGAGACACATATGAATTGGCGGCCAATATGTGGGGCGAGCCGTCAGTCCCGCAGACAAAAGTGTTGCCATTAGTAGATGTGGTCATAACACACGGCGGCAACAACTCTGTGACCGAAGCGTTCAGTTGTGGTAAACCAATGATAATAATGCCGTTATTTGCCGACCAATACGATAACGCGCAGAGAGTTATGGAAAAGGGTTATGGGATTAGACTTAATCCGCACACCGTTTCAGAGCACGAATTGCTTGACTCTATTGAACGGCTATTGAATGATAAGGATTTGAAGCATAGATTATCTGTGGCTTCAAAACGCATACAAAACTCGGATTGTAATGAAAAAGCCGCCAAAATTATTGAAAATCTTGTTAAATAAGTTTTTAATTGTTTAATAAATTTTTCATTATAGAGAATAAGTTAATCAAGAACATTTTTATAAATTGTATAATTATTAATTTAAATTGTCATTAAATTTAAGTTAATTAGCACTTCAATAAAAGTATTATTAATGAACTTCCTAGACTTTTAATTGACAAACATTGATTACCTGATTATTTGAAAAATGTTTATAACTTTTTTAATTTTTAATATTTAATTCACAATAATTGTAGTGTTTATTCTGTAAAATGACTATTAATTTAAATAATAAAAATCTTTAATACTATTTGCATATAATTATTACAACAAAAGTAAATTTTTATAATAATTAACAAAAAGACTTAAATGACTATTTGAGGTAAAAATTATTATTGTAACATAGATTTAATTTTATAAAACATTTGTTCGCAATCAACTAAACCCTTGAGAGGGCCACGGTTTTTATGTAATATAGGATGACCAGTTGCTATTAACTGTAATTGTTTTCTCCGTAACAAAACGCTAACTTTCATGTAATTGTGTGAACTTTCTCGAGATTGTCGTTTGGACCCGAAGTGTCATCCCTTCTGGATTACTGACACCTAAAATAATTATTTTAATACAGTTAAGTATATTAACTAAAATTAAACAAATTATTAAAATAATACCTTGTTCTGAAATATGAGTGGCCACTAAACCGTGCCTCGACTGTAGCGGGTGTTGTTGTATTTGCCCATAATTTTTTGATTTCACGGATAGTTTCTCTTTATGTAAAAATTAAAAGTTTATTTAAAACTTTATATTTTGTAATAATTTAAGAACTGTTACTTACGATTTGTTTTTGTAGAAAATTTTACTTTACTTTCTATTCGTTTTAATAATTTTGAAAAATTTGTTTCGTTTTTATCATTACTTGAATTATCATTGAATGTATCATTTGTTTTACTTTTACTATCATTTGTGGTTAAAATTGTTTTTTCATTCACTTCTTGCAAAACAATTGTATTATAAGTTATTTGACATTCATTGGCGTAAAAGTCAATAAAACTGTTAAAATTTGTTTCAATTATTTTATATTCTTTTGGGATTTTATAAATTTTATCGTTTATTAAAACACAAATGAATTGCAATTCATTCAAATAAATACATGAATTAATTTGTTGTATATTTTGAAAGTGATATTCAGATAGTATTTGTTTCGGACTTTTTTCAATATTTTCATTATAATCTTCGCCACAAAAATATAAACCATTTGTTGTCAGAAAATATGTCCCAAAATAACTACAACTAATTGTTTTCACATTATCTATGGTTGATATCAATCGGGGTTTCAATACTTTATTATCGGTTATATTGTGTCCCAATCTATGCCTCCTATTATTACCCCAACTAAACACATGTCCATCGGTTGTGACGGCAAATGAAGAGTAATTACAACTATAAATGGATTGTATTTTAAAATAATTACTAAATTGTATTTCAATTGGTGTACAAATAAACGCAATATTATCGCCACAACCGATCTGTCCCAACAAATTCAAACCCCAGGTATAGACCCGGCCATCACTTGTGAGGGCCAGTGTGTGATACGAACCACAATTGATTTGTATAATATGCTTATCATTTAAATATGGTATTATTTCTGGTGTCAAACCATCATGATAGCTCTGACCCCGGGCTAATTGTCCACATTCATTATTCCCAAAGCCGTATATCATATTCATGTCATTCATTGCTAACACAAAATCCAATCCATTGACAAAGTATTGTATGTTTTGATGACATAATTGTGGTATTATTTCTGGTGATAGTATAGGACTGTTGTGTCCAAAACCCAGACATCCCTTAAAATTATTGCCAAATCCATAGACCATATCATTGATAGTAACAAATAATACATTATATTCATTATCCCAATCCATGAAAATGTGTAATTTTGTTACATTTTCTCTGATATTCGTTGGAATTTTGTCACAAATTGAAAACCTTTCTAATAATTTACACATTTTTCAACAATTATATCACAACAAAACAAATAGATTTAAATTATATCAAATAACTAGTTAATTAAAATAATAAATATAGAATATTTACTAAATTGTAAATTAATTAAGTGAAAATTTATTTTTGTAGTTTCACTAAAGAAATATATATTATATTTAAAGGTCTTTTGATAGGAATTGTAATAATCAGTGGAAACCAATGGAAACTCTGATTAATTACAGGCTAAGGATTAAATACAATATTGTATTAAAATAAAATTATTA